CAGCGAATTTTAACCGAAGATTTGGGAATGAAAAGAACATGCAAAAAGAACATCGAGTTGAAACATGCCCTGCTTTGAATCAACAGCTTGAAACGGATCCAGATTTTCTTTCAAAGATCATTACTGGTGATGAGTCATGGTGCTATGGTTACGATCCAGAAACGAAGCGACAGTCCAGCCAATGGAAGACGTCACTGTCTCCCCGTCCAAAAAAATGTCGTCAGGTCAAATCAAACATCAAAATGATGCTGATTTGCTTTTTCGACATCAACGGCGTAGTTCATGCAGAGTTCGTTCCACCAGGTGAGACCGTTAATCAAGCTTTTTATCTGGAAGATTTAAGAAGATTGCGCAACAGTATTCGACAAAACAGACCCGATTTGTGGAGTACAGGGGACTGGTTCTTTCACCACGATTATGCACCTGCACACACAGCCATTTCTGTTAAGCAGTTTTTGGCTAAAAATGGCATGGTTCCTCTGCCCCATGCACCTTACTCGCCTGATCTCGCTCCGTGTGACTTCTTCTTATTTCCACGCATGAAAGGACAGCGATTTGACAACACTGAAGAGGTCAAGAAAAAAACGAGGTATGAGCTGTCGGCTATAGCCAAAGATGAATATAAAAAATGTTTCGAACAGTGGAAGCACCGCTGGGACAAATGTATTAGCTGTAATGGAGAGTATTTTGAAGGGGATAAGGTCGTTCCGGGATTTTCAAAACAATATATAGTTCATAAAAAATGATTCCGGTTTTTTTTGGGTACCCCCTCGTATATAAAAAGAGATAAACATTTTAGTCGATAAATGTTATAATTGCTTCAAAAATTAATAGGATTGAATCGCAGAATTGTTTCGCGTTTCGCTTTTGATCAAGAAATTCGAAATCGATTAAAAAAAGAAAGCGGATTCGACTTGACAACGCTGCATCTTGCGCCGTCGTTATTTAGCATGGCTCGCGGCCAGGAATCCCCGCCCTTGCTGTTTCCGAAGGGATGCGTTTTGTTTTCGAAACAAATACATCTTGTTACGGTGTAGGGGTACGATAATAGGCGGAGGATTTTAAAGATGGATCAGCCGGAACGGTGTCCACGTTCGGATTAATCGACATTCCCATTTAAATGTGGAGACACTGTCGTGTCACCTCGGTGTAACGTTGTACAATATTTAACTTCGAAAATAGACACGACCGTTCTCGCCGACAACGTAATTCCTATTTATTGTGTATTTATTAATCATGAATATTCAGTTGTTTTGGTCGCACTTCCTCACGCCAATCAAACGTCCACCGATTCTAACATCACCACGAAAATCCTTTGTCTGGGGGCCTAATATTACATGTCGCGGCCAGTTGATTTACACAAAGTCCTTAAAACGACATCCGGCATTCTAGCATCCACAGGGGAGTCGAACCAGTCATCTAGGCAGCCGTTTCAGTTATTTTATATTCTCAGAAAACTGAAAGTGGAATATGAAGAGTATACAGCAATGAAATAAGCGACAAAGCGTGCATAGGCTTTTCTATTATGGAAATCGCTTACTAATCAGTTAATAAAAAAAGCAAAAACCTCCTGAACAAAATAAGTATAGGAGAAAGAGTGATCTGGAAATTAAACTTAGTCCTTTGGTACGATCAAATGAAACTCATCCTTTAATAAGCGATATCTGCTCATATGACCTAAAAACAAAATAAGAAAGAAATGTATTAAGTATTAAGAATAGATCATATCAAAAATGAAGAAATACATTTAGGGATTGATGCTGAAAAAAAAAAACGATAATCGATAGATGACCTGATGAGAGGAAATGTGGTGGATCTTTTGGGAAGACCGATGGAAGGTGACATAATGAAATATTGTATATTTTATGTAAGAAGAAATATTTTTGCTGTTGGTGGTTATATCTGACGCCTTACGGGTTTATCATCAGAGAGCTTGAACTGGTAAACCAGAAAAGAATGCAGACTCTAAAGTAAACTCATACAGTAAGTAGCAGCGTAATGCATAACTGAATTTCAACAAGATCGAGTGTGCTGTGTGATTGTTTTGAACTTTTTCAAAAAATAAATCATGATTATCTTCTGGGTGCTACTCGCAGGACCTAAAAAAAAAAGAGTTTTGTATTCCGGCCTGGCGCCGGTTGTAAAGGGCGACCCTCTTATTTGACACTGCAAGAACATACGGCGGTATTAATTTAAACCCTCTTTCCATTATTGGGCTTAAAACGGCTCGAAAATACACATGGCTGAGTTTGTATAACATTCGTGAAGTAACGTCACAGTACGTTTTGTCAAACATCGTGTTACAGTCGTCGGGAGTTGGTCGGTCCGGTCAAAATTGTTTAGGAACGTTTGAAAATAACATTTCTAATCCGTTTTGAATTCTAAATGGGTTCGTTACGTCTAAACCAATGCGACCGGATTTACGAATTTATGTAAATTCCATTCCTACATTTTAAACGACGGTAAAATAATAAATAATAAACCTACTATATAAAGAAGACGCTGAGATTTCCATTGCTTTCATTTCTTTAATGTTGTAAGTCAACGTAAACTTGTAAATCATTTACAGTCACTTAATAATACACAAGGATTAACAAAAATTTCAAAGGATTTTGAAACTTCCGCCGCTCTTGTCTTTTCATTTACAAGTTGAAAGGCACATAGACAGTCACTCACACCGAATCTAAAACTTACAGTGCTTTTGCTACTTATTTTAACAGCGAAAATAACAGTGACTGGCACTTACAGATACTTACAGAAACACTAAGATTTTCTCAATAAGCAAATATTCAATAAATAATAGAAATGGGGAAAGGGATTCTCGATCTTTTGCTTTAATTTCTTCACATATGAGTTCACATATACTTGTCGCTTACCAAATAACACAAATACTTGATGATTTTAACTTCGACTCAACAAAACCCGACGCAGAAGGAATCCAGAAGTTTTGTAAAAAGTATTACGGTAGCCTGTAGAAGTTTTTTTGAAAAATGGTAGAACTTCCTTCTTTTAGTGACGAATTTACAGTTACAGAAATACTAAGATATTGCTAATAAACAGAAGATCAATAAATAATAGAATTTCTTTACGAGTTGAAAGTTATATACACAGTGAATATGAAATTTACCTTGTTTTTAATTCTTATTTTTCTAATTACAATGTTACATTTGCAGAAATACTAAAATATTGTTGAACTTTCTTCTTATCAGTTGATGTGGCTCACATCGGATGAGATAAGAGATTTGTAAACTGTCATTGCCTTTATTTTTTCACTTAAGAGTTGAAGGTCTCAGCTACTTAGGGATTCTTGAAATTCCATTGCTACTACTTGCACGGCAAGAGTCCCAAATACTTTTAAGTCACTTACAGTTACTTACAGATATCTACCAAAAAACAGAAGTACTTGATGATTCTACGGTAATTTGGGATTCTACAGGTTTGAAGCTTACAGAACAAATAAAAGTTTTTAGAACTTCGCCCTTGCCAGTTTAAATGACTTAGTTATACTTCCAAAAATGATAAGGGATGATCAATAAATCAGAAATTTTAAAAGATTCACGAAGTTCCATTGCCTTTATTTCTTCACTTACGAGTTGAAGGTCATATACACATAAGTCACTTATGAAATTAAAACGTACAGTGTCCTTACTTTTATTTTTCAGTAAAGATGTTTTACATTTACAGAAGTACTAGATTATCGGGAACTCTGTTCTTATTAGTTTAATCCTGAAAGATCCTTAATTATCAAATGGGAGTTAATTGTACCATTGATGTGATAGACGAAGCTTCATGACCTGGGGTTGTACTAATAGTTTGTTTAGCTTTGGCGTTTTCAAAAATATTCTTACCGTGATTGAAATCATTATAAAATTACGCGCCTCAATTTGCAAAATAATCTTTCGCGATGGTATCCGCGTGGAGAGGCACTTCAAAGCAGGAAGCGGAGACAAAAAAAAACTGTGATTGGCACACAATGTCACGTAAACCTTGTCGACGCCCGATTATCAGGTTTCTTTTTCGGAGATTATTATTTGAAGCGATTCTTGATACGCAATTCTGCGCAGTTTATTGTGTAAAAAAAAATAAACAAATTTTTAAAGCCAGCCGAAAAACGGAGAACAAAATGACCAAAACCCAAAGTCGGTGTTGATATGTGACTTCTTTAAAAAAAAGTTTCAAGTTGAAAGTCTTAAATTACCGAAATGTTGATCAGAAATATGACTTCGTTGGGATGCTTAAAACAACATTTTTTCTGGTATTAAAATTATTTTCCTCTGTATCGGTCTAGAATATTGTTAGTGAAGAGACAACCTGCATATCGCTCCACTTTTCTCTCCGCCATCCCAGAGGAATATTTAGAAACCTGAAATTTTGACTGGGTAGCTAGTACTAGTTCCCTGGGATTTATTGGGTATTTACATAATCATTTTTTTTTCAAACTGAATTTCCTATTTATAAAGATTTAATTTAATTATTATTATTCCTACTTTTTACAAAACTTCTGGATTCCTCCTGCGTCGGTTTTTGCTGAGTCGAAATTGCTGACGTTTTGCCAATGACTTCTTCAGAGCTTGACTGAAACTGGCTCGTATATTACTTTGTACTCATACATTGTTTAAAAGGGAAGGAGCTAAACGAGGGACATAAACAATTTTAACCGCGACCTGTCACCAATTTGGGAATCGGTCATCCGAGACGGTGTAAATATTAAGTTTCTTTGAAAAATTATTATTAATATTAATTATTTTGATATATTCGTGAGCGTAAGGTAGCCATGAACAATTGACAATAGAAGATGACAGTCCAAAAGCCACGTGGCAAAATTTTTGTTGCATTTTTCTCGCAAAATGTCTAATGGAATGAAATATGGAATACTCTACGTACTCAATTCAGTAGAAGGGCATCAATGTGAACTCAACTGATAAAAGACAATTACCTATTAAAATGACGTATTTTCTGTATATTTACAGTATCTCTTCTAGGAAATCAAGGCACTTAATCTGTCCGCACTATCTGATTTGATTGTCGTCAGGCGTTGCCTATAAATATATGATTTTAAGTTTAACTTTCAATATTCCTGGTTTTTGCGTGTATGAGAGGGGCAACATGAAGGTCTTTGTTTTTGTTCTTGCCTTGGTGGCATGTGCCCTTGGTAAGTCTTGCCTCCTACTAAACAACGAGTTTTTTTATAGCTGTCGCCGTTTGTCGCATCCTAGCGTCCAACGCTTGCGATCATTCCAGTAATGTGCTTGTAGTCCTCTATCCACCATTGCACAGTTTACCTCTTGCTTCCACAATTTCCTTGCTCTTCCTCTTTTTCTGAGATTGGTGACCATAACCATTTCAACCTTTAACATTCTATAGTTTCCATGATGTCAATATCTATACCCATTTGCTCTCTGATTTCAGTATTCTTCGTCGTGTCCCTTCTAGCATCTGCGCCCACCATTTATTTCAGTAGCTTTAATTTTGGAAGTGATTTTTTTTATTTATTACCCAAAGCCTTGAGCCATATGTTATACTAATTTTTGTATTCCGAGTGATGTGGTTATTCCATAGTATATTGTTTAGTTGGCGTATTTCTGTATTACCTTCAATTTTAGTTGCTATTTGCTTTGCATTATGGCCATCATTTGTTATTGCTACACCAATGTATTTGTAACTACCATCGTTATTAATATGTGTGCTTCTTAATTTTAAGCGTCGTCCTTCATTTCCCATCACTACATACTCTGTTTTTGAGGGGTTCTTCATCTTCTGCAAATATTACTGGGTCATCTGCAAGATCAAGGCTATAAAGCTTATGATATCAAATTGGTTCACATTTGCTTTTCCATATCTCTAAGATCCCCTCCAAATAAATCGACTGTATTCTACAACATTTATATTTTGCGAACTTTATATTGGTGTTAATCAGGTTAAATTTTATTTATGACGAATGTTACTTTTTACAAAACTTCTATTCAGTCGAACTTGCTAACGATTCGCCAATCATCCTGTTGGCTTCTTGGGAGCCTTACTGAAACTGACAGTTTCATTGACTTTTCACTGACTCTCAACTAACTGAAAATTTCAGTCAAGCTCTGAAGAAGCCAACAGGATGATTGGCGAAACGTTAGCAAACGCGACTCAGGCAAAACCGACGCAGAAGTTTTGTAAAAAGTATTACAGAATGTTGATAACGAGTGTTGACTAAATTGAAATCGAAAATAACAACAAAACTTGCGCATTGTCACTTATGGATATATGAGAACTTGAACTTGACCGTTCGTTTCTAGCATCACCGAAACCGGTGGATCCATCTCCGAAGATCATCAACGGCCAAAACGCAGCTAGAGGTCAGTTCAACTACATCGTGTCATTCCAACGATTAATCCAAAATCAATGGAGGCACAACTGCGGCGGCTCCATCATCGGGCGTAACTACATCCTCACCGCGGCTCATTGCATCGGAGTCAACATACCATTGAACCAATATAGAATCGTCGCCGGTATCCTGAACATCGACGACGTCAACGTAGGCGAACAAATCCGCAACCTCGCTGCCATCATTTCCCACGAACTTTTCCCCGGGTAAATTTATTCCTCTAGTTTTTAATCCAGCATATGGGTAACGGTAAAAATCAATCGCAGAGGTCCCACTGTCGCCCCTCACGACGTAGCGTTGTTGCGACTGAGCACCCTGCTTAATTGGTCAGACAATATTCGCCCGATCGCTCTTCCCGCTTTGGGTCACGTTTCCGAAGGTACTGCCACCTTGGCAGGTTGGGGAGCCATTCAAGACTTCTTAGGTATCATCTACACCTACCCCAATACCCTTCAGTTCGCGGAATTGCCTGTCATTAGTGATTTTGGTAAGTGAATACTCGAGATACGCTGGAACGTTAGCTAATGGAGTTTTTTGACAGATTGCAATCAACGACTAAGCACTGCTCTCCAAAATCGCCCGCATCCGTTCGATCCGATCTCCAACGTATGCACCGGCTCTTATGTTGGCTTCCAGTCCGCCTGCGGTGGTGACTCCGGCGGTCCCCTCACCAAGAACGGTAGGGTGATTGGTATCGTTTCCTGGGGACTTAGCCCGTGTGGTTCGGGTGCCAACACTCCGACCGTCTACGCTCAAGTGTCCAACTACGTGGATTGGATCGACAGGAACACCCCAGATCTACAACAATAAGTGGGCATCGTTTGATGTCATTGTGATACTGACAAATAACTTAAATAAATTCGTATTAAGTGACAATTCAAGGTCGTTTTCCTTTTGGTACCTATCTGCAAGCCGAAGTACAATCCATTTATAACAGAAAAGTTAATAAATTGATACCCAAAGTGCTTGTTTCGCGGTAAATTTTGCAGTTTTTCGTCAAACTTTGAATGCGGCAAGTAGAATTATGCTACGTGATGAACTTAATGATAATAATTCCATCAATAGCAATACTTAATAATACCTGAGAAAAGCAGAAACTGCCTTATAAGTTGTGCGTTGTGACAACAGCTCTGTCCTGCTGAAAGTAAATATTGGAGAGATTTGCTAAAGACATGTTATTAAATAAATGCTGTTTAAATTATTACTGAGGCATTTAATCTTTGTTCCCAAGCACAAAGGTGAAGTGGATTTAAAATCATATTTTTTTAAATATTCAAAATACAAAACATACCACATCTGCTGACTACATCAATAGATGCGAAGTGGTGAACGAGATATTGCATATTCTGAGGGAAGAGCACGGGGTCTATGCTCAGGCATATGCAGACGACCTTGTGATGATGGCACAGAGGACGGAGGTGAGAAGGATGCAGGGACCCCTGAACGAGGCATTGGCAAGATTCTCACAATGGTGCCAGGACAGCAAGTTGGCTGTCAATTCTGGCAAGGTGGAGATGGTGATCTTCACCAGAAAAAGGAAGTTGGAGTGTAACCTCAACATTTCGATGGATGGGGTGCCTCTTTCTGCAAGCGGAAGAGTCAAGTACTTGGGGGACAAGGTCGACCTTTGGAACTCTGTGGACGTGACGGAGAGCGGTAGGGGGCACTTGGGGCCTGGGCCAAAGATCATGGGGCAGTGGCATGGTGACTGGGGACCAAAAGAGCAGGAGCAAGGCTAGTTCTTGACAGACTGCAGAGATTGGCTTTTCTCTGCATAACGGGCGCCATGAGGACGGCGCCCACGAGGGCCCTAGAAGCTCTGGTGGGTTTGCCATCTCTGGCGCATCGGGTGCGGATGGAGGCGGCCAGAACGGCTGTCAGGCTGGCGAGCTGCGGACTCTGGAGGGAGGGAACCTTCAATCGGGGCCCGTACGACATTTTAGAGGACTGGCCCGGGAATCGCGGAGTCATGGGCATGCCGAGTGACGTCATGATCCCCGAGATGACCTTCTTTGACAAATGGACCTTACCATTAAGGGAAGAGTGGAGCTCTCGCCACTCAACTGCAGAGTTGGCTCCTGGGATGAACTTGTCTCGTACACGGACGGGTCCAGAATGGAAGATTTGTCGGTCCCTCTGGGTCAGTACTGTAATGTGTTTCAGGCGGAAATTTGCGCTATATTCATGGCGGTCAGAGAGGTGCTTCGGATCAACCACGGAAGCAGGAGGGTCTTCTTCTGCTCGGATAGTAGGGCTGCACTCATTTGTTGATAAAGGAGTGCAAAGGGATATTGATGAGAGTGGCTGAACTGCTTAGACTGACCAGAAGGGAGTGTAGAACACCAACAGGGGCCTACACAGGACATTGCAGACTTAGGAGGCATCTTTGCTTGCTAGGCGCATTGGAGACGACCCAGAGTGAAGGTGGTGCATGGAAGGGGAGGATGCCCCGTATCATCTGCTCACCGAGTGCCTTGCTTTGATATGGGCAAAATAGAGAGTCTTCGGAACGACCTTGATCGGTGTTCGAAATACGATACAGCCCAGTAAGGCCAAAATTTTTGTTTCAAACAATCCAAATAACAAAAACTTATATCAGTGTTTGTTAAATTAATTGGAAAAATGAATATTTTGAAAATAGTCATAAGTTTGTTGCATTGATGAAGCATCTGATTTATATTTTGAATATTTAAAAATATATATTTTTAATTCCACTTTGAGTTATGGACTATTTCCAAATATTTTTCAAAATGCAGATATCCGAAAAGGCCGCAGCCAAACATGGTAAAACATTGATAATAAACAAAAACAGCAAGTAGTGAGGTCCATCACGTGAAGTCGTGTAGGAATATTGGGTTCGGGCTTACCGTGGTTTGCTTTGTGTTTGAGAACAAACAACAAACAAAACAATTTTAAGTCAAATACCACAGGATTTATTTGATAAGCAAATCTCCACTATATTTACTTTCAGCAGGACGACACTATTGCCCACAATACACAACTCATAATTTCTGTTTTTTTTATATAGATTCCTTCGTCTGATCTCACCTACAAACGGAATTGATAATGATGGCAGAATGATTGTTATTATCACTAAGTTCATCAGAGAAAAAATTTAACTAATTTTTTATTTTATTTAATTTTGTTTGTATACACATCAGTAACTGTAATTCCATGGTAGGATTGTTAGGTTGCTTATAGATTTCTATAGACTCTCAGATTTTTCATTGGTACTTTAGTTTTATCGAATAAAATTTTATGAGCGGTTAGGCAACTGCTGATGAGTTTATTTGTCTTAGTCTTAAAGCTCTTTCATGTTCCTTATACCTAGTAGATATTTTTAGTCCGGTTTTTCCAATATATTCTTTGTCGCATATGAATGAAATGCTGTAAAGTCCTGGCATCCCTAATGGAAATTTGTCTTTGACGGATCGAAGATATTGAGACATTTTTGGACAAGTGGTAAATCTGGTTTTGACGTTATATTTCGTTATTTGATATGTGGTCAGTGATGTTTTGAATGTAAGGAAGGACCACAGTGGTAAATGTAGTATTGCTTTCGGTCTCATTGCTATTGGAAGGTTGTGGTGAAGTGCATTTTGTGATCTTTAATGTGGAAATTATTAGACCGAAGAGCAGACGTAACTTTTGATATGTGGTCAGTGATGTCTTGAATGTAAGGAAGGATAATGTAGCAAGTGTATTTTGCTATGGAACGCTTAATTTTTTTAATATGGAAATTATTAGAGAGAAGAGTAGACGTAAGGTGTTTTAATTCTGGGTTGAGTGACTCTGCTGAGATAGTTTTAAGGCTCTGTAAACAAGAGAGTTGATAACCGATGATTTTTGGGCAGGATGGTGGTGTGACAATGCATTAAGCTATCGGTCTGTGTGCGTAGGTTGGCCATGATTGGCGAAACGTTAGCAAGTTCGACTCAACAAATTCAGAAGTTTTGTAAAAAGTATTAAAGTAGCATGTGGAAGTTCTCCCCTCCCTCTATTTTCCTTTCTTCATCAAAAGTTCAGTGTATACGATCGAGGACAGTTCTGGTAAGTCAAAATTAAATTTAATTACGACAATTTGGCTAAAGTTCACCCCATATTTTGGTCACAATTTCAATTTTTGATATGATTAAGTTCAATAGATTGTAAAAATTTAGGTGAGAAGAAATTAGCAGTTTTTTTCGGTTCTGCGTTTTTTTTATTGCCATTGCTTCCGACTCGCGTACCTGAGTATTTTTATGACTTAAAATTAAAATTATATATCACAGCATATCAGTTGAATATTAGATAAATACAATAAAAATAATATCATAATAAGGTAAATTTTGATTTGAGTACGAATTTGAAGTTCAACTATTTTCGTATTGTTGAACCTGCCCAAAAATCGTATTTCTTAGCCAGAAAATCAAAAGATTGCGTCGGGCCAAGAAAAGGAATATATATTGTCAAATTTTCAGTAGTCAAAGATTAGGTTCGGTAAAAATGATCTTAAATCTATTCAATCATTTAAAACCTTTATAACTTATCGAAAGATCTTGCAACGGAAACTAAAATTAATAACTTTGAATCATTGTACCAATCTATGTAGGTTTTGATATTAATCAAAACTTCAAACCGGAATATAAACTTAGTAGCGTAATCAATGAAATGTGTTATGGAATAAGAGTGGCATATACCAAAACAATGTTTGACGAGTCTTTTGCCAAAAATCGAAATTCCGCATTTTTACGGTAAGCCAACAAATTAGGAAATGTTTTAATCCATTTATAAACATTTAATTCACGATAATTTTCATTTAACTGAAGCAGATAAGGTGCGACTGCTCGTGACGCGCTTAAAGGGAACAGCCTTCAGTGTTTGTGCGGGTATTGCAGCTTTGGGTGACAATTACGATACATTTTGGAAGAGTCTTTTAGATAAGTATCACAACAAAAGATTATTAGCCAGCACTTACAACAAATTGTTAATTTTAAACAATTACTAACAGAATCGTAAGAAATTGAACTATTGAACAACGGTACGAGCTGGTCAAAACCATTAATTTGTGCCTCTCGCAGTTTCACGGAGTACGTCAATGCTCCAAGAGCCCATGTGGACAGTGCAGTAAAAACCATCATTATCTACTACATGCCAGTAGAGATAATGTAGTCAACGCCACCATTCATCAAACTCAGAGTACCAGCTCTCAAGAATCGAGTTCTCAAAATAACGTTAATGATAATTCCTTTGAAGTAAATTGTGCATTTCACAAATCCATTTTTTTAAATAGAAATATCGAAAAAATGGTTTTATTAGCAGTAGCCAATGTAATCTTATTACTACAGAGTGCCGTAAAAAAATCGGGCTGCAATATTTTAAAGTAAATTCTTCGACCCAAGGTTTGGGAAAAAATACTCAATTGGTTAGAGGGATTGCCGATAAATTTTTTGACAGAATACTGGGTGCTCAGATATTTTTACTTCAATTGGTTTAATGAGGGCGTTAGAAATATGCTTATGTTTATGTACCTATGGATCAAGGAGATTCGGAATATTCCTTTCCTATAAATTTACTTACCCTGCAGGAAGAGGCGCCAATCGAGCAAATGAGTGCAAGGTTTTGGGAGTTTGTGCAAATTCCTGAACGGGAAATCCCCGATTTGGTTTCTATGGAATGCTAAAAAATATACGCGGAAACGGTTACTACAGGTACTTCAGAACAATTTACGATTGCCTTACCTTTTAAAAGCTCTCCAACAAAAATGGAAAATTCCAAATTTTTGGGGGAAAAGCGGTTAAAAACATTGGAAAAGCGGTATCAAATTCTGAAACATTACGTGCGGACTATAACAAAATAATGCTAGGTTTTTTAGACCAAGGATTTTTACGATTATTAGAGAAGGATGACAGCAATTTGGGCTACTAAATAGGTCATCATCCGGTAATGAAATTAGGGAGTTCGAGCATGCCTATTCGGATAATAAAAGGTGTTTTTTTTCGATGTATATTACTATAAGTTGCAATAAAACAACGATGGATTATTCGATTGACATAAATTTTATTCATCCGAAAGATAATCTTGTGGCATTACGTTTTAAATATGATTTCTGGCATATGATCGCTACGGCTGGCGCGGATGTAGTCCAATCTGGACGTTCAATTTTCGATGACTTTTTCCAACATTTGTGGCCGCATATTGGCAATAACACGGCGAATGTTGTCTTCCAAATGGTCAAGCGTTTGTGACTTATCCGTATAGACCAATGACTTTACGTAGCCCCACAGAAAGTAGTCTAGCGGTGTTAAATCACGAGATCTTGGAGGCCAATTCACAGGTCCAAAACGTGAAATTAGGCGGTCACCAAACGTGTCTTTCAATAAATCGATTGTGGCACGAGCTGTATGACATGTTGCGCCGTCTTGTTGAAACCACATCTTCTGGACATCATGGTTATTCAATTCAGGAATGAAAGGGTTAGTATACCAGGTAATCCAGAGTTATATATGCAGGCCGTAAAACTCTTTAAAGGACGAGGCTTTGAATTAGTAAAATGTTCAACCAATTCTAAATAATTATTAGCGAATATTTTCATGGAAAAACGGTTGCCAGAATATGTTACATTTAAATCGAAAACCAAAGCTTTAGGAATACAGTGGGACACTTTAAGGGGTGTATTAAATTTTGGATTAACTACTTCTGACGAAAAATTTTGTCCTTGGCGG